ACAATTTAAATCTATAATATGAGCAATCAGCATCTAATTATCATCATGAACACACATGCCAAATAAGAATACAAACGTCTACTAACTTACTTGTGGCAGACTGCATTAGCCTTCAAAAAAAGGTTTCAAAAAGTTGATGGTGCAAATGTTACTACATTTACATGGAATGACTACATTTACAAATAAAAATTATTTACCGTTTGGGACAAGCTTATTATACAACTCATTTCACAATGAAATTCGCTTTAATGAAGAATTACGTGGGGAGGCTGAAAAGTTTCGCGTGTAGCCCTCTAACTCGAGATTGCGTCAATTTAACTAAAAATTGGAATAATTATAAAATGCGCATGCTTTCATGTAACAAATGAAAAAAAAAAGTAGAGGCAAATTTATTATCTCATTGTCGAAAAACATTTTTTTGTAAACCATAGTAAAACGATTGAAAAAAAAAATGAGCCGTAAGAACTAACGATCAACTTTATTTTCGTTTGTTGGAAAAATGGCAGAAATGATCCACGAAGAGTTGGTGAATGTAAAAAGGGAACAAGCATTGTCTATTAGCACAACTAGACACTGGATTGCTACATTCAAAGACGGGGAAGAAGAAATTAAAGACCAAGCTCGTTCTGGACGTCCTCGCGAAAAGCAGTGACGTCAGAAAAAATTGCCGAGGTCGAGGATCTTGTTAGCAATAACCCGCACATTTCTATTAAAAATTAGCCAAAGAAATCGGCTTTTCTCGTGAAAAAATTTCCTACATTTTGCATAATGAGGGAAGAACAACTGTTCGTGACGTCATGCTTTATCACAACAATGCCACAACACACAAGGCAACAATCATAACAGAGTATCTTCATAACGAACGAGTGATACTTTTCTCCCGCTTGCCATATAGTCCAGACCACGCTCCTTGTAATTTTTTCTATTCCTTCGAATCAAAAAAGAACCTTAGAAAAAAAGATTTGGTAAGATCGAAAATTTAGCAAGGGCTGTTCAGGCAGCAAAAGCCGACTATGAGAAGTCTCTCCAGTGTTGGCAGAATCGTCTGCAACGTTGCATGGATGTTAATGGAGAGTACTTTGAGAGAATGAAATAGTTGTATCTACAGTTATTATGAAATTTCTGGAAATAAAGGTCCGCGCGCAGCCTCCCTACGTAGTTTGCTCTAATTTCAGTTGATCAAAAGTTATACAGTGTGTCAAAAAACCCCCCAGAATATTTTCTGTAGCATTCAATCATGCATATGTCCACCAATTTTTAGGTTGATTTAAGCAATGTAAAATGTAAAGTGATTGTCAGATGAGGGAGTTTATATCTGTTTATTTTGAACCGCTTTTTATAAATATTTTCCACTAAACTATTCTTCGACAAACATCAATTAGAATGATGACTACGTAATTCCATCAGTATGGTTCATGATACCATTAAAAACTCAACCAATCTAGAACCGTTAACCCTAACCTAACCATATGTCAAAGGCTTGAAAAAGCTCTTTGCTTGGGGAGGATTCCGTATAAGGAATAAAAACAATTTTATTATTTTTCCCGAAATAATGGATGCAAGCATTTATGTATACATACTCTGGAGACATCTTCCATACATAGTCTAATATCAAGTCGAATTTAATTATCAAGTGCTGAAAAGTTTGTGAGTGATTTTGTATTACAAAATGAAAATAATAGTCAAATGCAATACTTATAAGATAATAAGGAAAAAAATTATACGCAAAATTATTATATAAGTAAGAAATCTTCGTTTTGTATACCAACTTAAAACGATTGGACAACATGAGCCGCGAAACCAACGATATTGTATTTTTGCTGCCTGGAAAAATGCATGAATGCGGAAGGGAAACGGTGAGCACAATTAGGCGCTGGGATAAAAATATTCAAGACAAAAACTTGCTCTGGATGTTCTTGCAAAGCGGCAGCACCAAAAAACATTACAAAGGTTGGTGGCCTTGTTAACATATTTTTGTCTAGCATTTCACGTGAAAAAATCACTCATATTTGCATATTGAACTGGGCCTTCACAAAATCTGTACAAAGTTGATTTCTCGTAAGCTTTCAGAAGATAAGAATATCACTGCGATAGCAATGTAACTAAAGTGAATGAGTTGAACTTCTCCCTCACTCACCATCTTGCCTCTTTTTTATTCCCTCAATCAAAAAAGAACTGAAGGAAAAAGGTTGAAAACTTGGCAAGATAGTTCAGGCAACTGTTGATAATGTCCCTAAAAAAAATGAAAACTCTTTCCAGATTTAGCAATATTAATATTAATGTAACTTTAACATTTTATTTAGTTATTTTGATAGCTATTTCAGAATAAAAAAGTCCACGCGCAAACCTTCAGCACGCCCACGCACATTAAATTTATTTTACGCTGAACTGTGTTGTTAATCTAAAAAGTGTTGACGATGAATAGGTTTACTAGTTCGTACAGAGGTAGACGCAGAATACATAATAGTCGCTCGAGTTAAAGTCAGCCTTAATTGAGCAAAGACTAAATTCCATAAAAGGTATCGCACAGTCCAGTTAGCCCAACCGGTACCAAAATTACATAGCACCAACAATGCATAAATTAACTCCAATTAGTACGATTATTTGAATCAAATCAAAATTTTTCTTGCGAATAAAAGAGTAGCAATAATAATGTCTGTTAAAAAATCTCAATTAAACGACGCCAAACTAGTATTATTTACAAGAAAAGTCTTTCTCCCCGCTAATATTTTGTTACATAAGTAAGGGTCTATTTAATTGTTTGCTGCAAAATATCATGTCAGAATCTGTTAAAGCCGACTATAAACATAAATTAATTTGATGTATAGAGAGGATTTGTTTATATATGCTTTCTGAATTTGCCCATTTCTTTCATATAATCAATAAATAAGTTGCGTGTGCCAGTATATTTGTACACAGTGAAATTTACTTTAAGATTGCTTTATAAGAAGCTCTTTCTAGAAACGAATTCATCCACAGTATATAAACTTCCAGGTTAACTATGGAACGGGGGGTCTTCATTGAAGTGAATTTCATTGTGTATGCGATGCTTGAAAATCAGCGCCTTTTCCTCTCTTTCTCAGTTGGCGCCTGTGACAGGGCCTACAAGTTCATGTGTAGTTCGCCCCTATATTTCCAATTTTCTATATGGTCAAACTATTTCGATCCTATGGCGCCTTAATTTATTAATATATGAAAGCTTGTTTTGTCATGCTCGCATGCAATCATAAGAAGCATGCTAAAATAGCATTTGTAATAGCAAAATTCGATCCACAGATAAATCTGGATCTCGCTTTCAGTCAGTTACATTGGGCCGATCGGTATATGTATTTCGTTTATTACCAAACTCTTGACCTATTTAGCCTCGTGATCCGACTGATTGATTGCTCAAACATAAGAAATACGTGAAAAGTATTACATTATAATTATGGGTAAGGTTTGGATATAAATTATAACGGCACGTTCTCTGAACCACTTTTGGCATTTATTATTAATCGCGTATGTCCAAATAAAGGTCAATTTACGTCTCTAAGAATCATTTGTGTCTTTGACCAACCCTTATTATGTGACTACTGCAATTTGCGATAGAAAGATTTCAGCTACAATTTTCAATGACATCTATGTCTTCTCGTTTATTTTGTTTGGTCACAGTTTTTGCAATTGAATTTAATGTCCTGTCTAACCATCTAAACTCAAGCTTCTGGAAATTTCTTACCCGACAAATTTTTTCTCTATGTAATGGCATAGTAATAGTAAACATTCACTTAATATTAAGAAAATTATCGAGGCCTTTTAGCTAACCAGTTTTCGCTAACGCTTCCATCTTGTAGCGTAATTTTCTTGACCAATTTATCAGAAACCCGTATAAAGAATATGCGCACTAGATCTTAATAATATAGAGTTGGGTTCACTCAACAACTATATTGTAAATAGAATTAGAGTTTACAACTGGACTCCCTGATTTTCCATATTCCTTCTCATTCCGCGTTATCGAGCAGCGTTGCCCGTTTCTCGTTCCCTGCAGCAACGCTTATCCAATCCGATAGATCTCATTTCCTAGTGAAACACACCCGCGGATACTCATCAGATAAGCAAAATGTGTTCTTGTAAATTTAGGTTTAAAGTTGTGTAATATATTAATATTAATATGTATATATATTGACAAGTATTTTATTAAACGTTCCAAATTGTGCATCCTCGATGTCTACAGAGCAAATTACTTGGTAACTTTATCCGTGCAGTCCTACAACGTTGAATTTTACATCCCACACAATCTATACAATCTGCCTTAATATCTGTTTGATGCACTCAAAAATTGATTTCTTGTTGAAGGACAATCCGAGATTACAGCACCAAAATACCTTTGTGGCGCGTAACACCAAGTGCATTTTATCTCTTATCGTGATTATTAATAATAATAAGATTTACATATTTTTAAGGCTTATTCGTAATAACCACCAATGTTTCATGTGGGAGTGCATCATTAATTCGACCATCGATCGCAACATCAAGGTCTCCATTCTACACACATTTCACACACATTACACTAATTGCATAACATGATAACTTTGATAGTTTACAACTTTTTTTACACATTATAATATCATCTCGATCGATGTATAAATCTCGTCTCCATTTGGAAATAAAGTTGCTATAGACGCGTTAGGCGTGCATGCCAAGACAAATTTCAATCTATTTGTGTAAACATTCTTTAATAGTTAGCCAATTACACACTTTCGAACGACTCTTTTTATTTGTCACATGACATAAAGGAATAGTCCAACACAAGAGGAGGGGCTTTTATTAAATATTAGCATATTAAAGAAGAGTAAAAAAAAAAAAAAAAGAAAACAAAAGTCCACTATTCTAGAGACGGGCGTACAACTATGTGAAGTATGACTTCCCATCGTATATTGCAGTAAATAGTTTGTTTTTTCTTCTTTCTGTGACAATTTATCAACAATGACTTTTTTTTCACGCATGACAGAAAAAAACACCTCTCACAGACGACCAAAGAAAACCATGACGGCCGTTAAAAAGATAACAAAAGATCCATTGATAACCGACTGAGGGAGACGATTGGCAGAATTGAAGTAATTGTTTGGTGCAGGACCATTAGTACTGCTCGGTGTGGCAACGGAACTGGAAGTAAGCGTCTGAGGAGGTGTTGCTCCCGCAACTTTAGGATGTTCAGCTGTGCAGTTCTTTTGACAACCGGCGATGCATGTTTGGTCGGCGGTTGGGCAAGCCTTAGTACAAGCATCTACATCGTATGTGCATTCGAAATATGGAATGGTCTGTGTGTATTCTATTGAAATACACAAGAACGTGGGTTAGAATTAATTGAGCGAGGGAAAGGGAAGATTGTGTGTATTATTTTGTAAATGTAAGCAGAAACGAATACGAAAATAAACATCGCTCATTCTCTTGAATGCGAAACGCAACTATCAATCATACTTTAAATAAAACGTTGTATTTCACTTTTTACTTACCGCTAGCATTAGGAGCTAAACCGTTAGAGCATCTACAGTCATAACTCAAGTTTGTGGGATCGCAAGTATTTGAAAGGACACCGCTTCCACCATCCTTGCATATGAGGGTGCAAGTTGCAACCTGGTTAGTGCACCAATTTCGTCTTGTTGCAATATCGACGGTATTAGCTGTGTTTTTTCAAAGAAAATGCGTGAGCCTTGAGGGTTTTCTCTCTCACTCTCTCAGCAGATGAGACACACGTTCAACCATTAAAGAATTTTAGGGGATACTTACGGTCTAGTGCTCCAACTCCACAGAAGACAACTAGTGTCGCAAACAAAGCGACTGATAAGAAGGCAATCTGGCTGTTCACCATGACGATAGTTGTATTATTTTTAAGAGAGGCAACGGTATATAGGTATTATGTATATACTCTCTTTTCTATAAGTATTAAACTTTTAATACTTTTTTAACTAGCCAACACGGAAAAGTCGGCGTTTATGTAAAGGTGGAGTGGATAAGAGAGGAAGGGATAGCGGATGAAGAAAAGAAAAAGATTGCACACACAAACTTCGACAGGAAGGAACACATGTATTAACAACAAATAATATTCGATTGCGAAATAGCCAAATGCAGTGTGTCATTTCCTATTAATAAATCTCGAGTGTGACTTTTTTTAGATATGCTATAAATGGAACTTTAGACTGCTGATCCTGTAGGACCATGCTCCATTAATACACAAGGCTGAAAAGCGGGGATATACAGATATGGACTATTCATAGACGAGGGAACAATGGTTGGACACTTTTAAAATACATGATGGTTACATCAATTATTATGTGCAATGCAAAAAATAACTCCAGTACATTTTGTATTAGTTTGAGAGTTTATCCCAATTTAGTTGGTGAACCAACAAATGAGTAATAAATAGTAGCAGAGTCACGTGGCGATATGCAAGCTTTTATTTCGATATTTCGTTCTAACACATGAAGAGTGGGGATGAGAAGAGGGTGAAAAACACGAGTGAACAATATCATACAATGTAATGGGACCAATAAACAATGAGAATGAAAATCAGAGCTACTAGTCTAGAAAGTTTCAAGGCGAAGAAATCTACACAAAAAAGTCTGAGACATGAGAGAAAAGGATAACGGAGAAATCTAGGAGGGAAAATCAAATGAAAAATTACAAGTGCTCTATTTTTTTTTAAAGTCTAGTTAACAATTCAACCGATTCGGTAGACTAGACAGACCAGATAGATAGATAGAACACAATGACAAACCAAATTTTATAAAGTATCCATTTTTAACCCAATCATCATATGTTCAAACTGCACAATTATAATTTATCCTTGTCGGTTAGACTAGCCTCATTATTAGTGGCGCCCATTCCGGGCATATTATTCCCACCCCAGAATATCATAATCTCTCCATCACTAGTCATGTCACTCATGAATGTGCTCCGCGGATCCGAGCTCACCGAGCTCAACATGCTTTCCCTCTGCAATTGTAAAGACGTCGTATTACCAGATAACATCAACCCGTTATCATAGGTCGTACTTGGCCTATCAACGAATGGAGAACCATATCGATCGGAATCACCGGTGAAACCACCATCTCTGTTATTGTCGTCATTATTGTTGTAGTTATTGTTGCTATTAAGATTATTATTTTTATTACGCAGTTTGCTTAGTTCGTCTGTTTGAGATGACACGGTCACATTTCCATCTGCCTGCAACGGAAAGTCCAGCTCACTGTAATCTCCATGATAACTGGAATGATTAGATGATGTTGTGGAATGAACGCTCAGAAGAGAGTTGGCAGTCAATGGAGTTTGGGGGGTAACTGGAATGCTAGCCCCCCCGCTATATGCTGATCGCAGTGATCTTAGATCGGTGGCACTGCCGTTATTATTCTTTATAGTATTTAGTCGGACAAGCGCGGGTTTAGCACGTGTAGCGGTCACTACCGTGGCTGTTGCTGTAGCCGCGCCTGGCAAGGGTGATGTTCCTCTTGTTGCCTGTACAATAGTCCCGACTTCCTCATCTTCGTTACTGGCAAACGGGTTGTCGCTTGCTGTCGAATAAGGCCTGGGCAGTGGACTGGCTAATGGCGTCGTGCCAATGCTCACAGAGGATGTACGTTGTCGCGAATGAACTGCCTCGGGAGTGGTAGGAGTAACCGGTGTAGATGGCGGTGGTATATATGCTATCGGAATGACATTGGCACTCAGCGATGTCATTGACCATTCTTTCGTGCTGCTATCGTCCAATCTCGTGCATTTACTGGTTCCAAATAGACCAGCACCCATTCCTCGCTGTTTTCTGAACCTGGTATATCCAAACATTGCAGCAGCCAGGACTGCAATGCCAAACACGCTTCCAATGACTGCTGGAATCAATTTGGCATTGCTATTGCCAGACTTTTGCGTAGTAGGAACGCCTACGTCGGGCGATAGACTGGATACTGTATTTTTACTTACGCATCGGGGCTGGGGACATTGACTACATGTTGTAAATCCAGAAGCACAGACTTGATCTTGCGGACATGGTGGACAGGTTGATACGGGACATTGTTTACATGTGGTTGTGGCTGTAGCTGTGGTTGTGACGGTTGCGATTGTGTTGTTGCTTGTTGTTGGTGCTGCATCATTCGGAGGCGGAGGCGGAGGCGGAGGTTTTGCTACGTTGATTAAGGGGAATGAAATTGTAAGTTGTAATGATGTACGTTCTAACATTGTCAATCTTATCAAGAATATCTGTTCCGCTAATGGTTAAACATGATGATTATTTTTGCCTAGAATAGTGACCATCAGTCGCAACAATAGAATATATAGCCAGGAATTTTCAACCTGTAGCTTATTTCTGATGGCTGAATGGTTTTAGCCCGAGAATAGTGGGGAGAAGCTTACCTTCACCAGGTACGGCTATTACTGTTGAGGTATTTATGATGACCAGTAGACATATCAATGCTGTTGCTGTCCATCGTCGTAGAATCCGTATAGAATGCATAGTCGGTTTTATTATTATAATAATACAAGTATGTATATAAGAGTAAAAGTTGTTTGTACAATACGAGCGACCGCTTCGTGACTAGTAACTCTCTTTTACAAGCGGATATTGAGAAGGGAAATAGTATGAAGGGTATGATGCGGAAAATTATGGTGGGAAAGAGAGAGAAAAGAGAAATATATTAGAGACAAAAGAATGAGGCCGAAAGTTGGTGCACAGGGAAGGGGAAAAAGAAGAGATTGTAAATAAAAAGAAGCGGAAACAATTGAGGACATTTATTATTTACATGGCGAAAACGTATGTTACTGATATGCGAGTGTGTCACATCGCCATGGCCACAACAGATCTCTAATTGGATGATAGCGATATTTGTGGACAAAAATATTGTTATATTTGGTCGAGAGAGAACTGTCGTAATCAATTTTAATCAATTACCGAATTATCTGTTATAAATTGTCTTGTGACAAATAAAAGTTTTTTAGTCAACTTCTTCCATATAAACTTCACAAGACAGAGGTCCCCCACTTTTAGAACCCTTGTGGAATTACAAAACTGTTATTTTAATATCGACCTGTTTTTGGTCGATGCCAGTTTGTAAATCCAGTGTGACTGGTTTCATATAGGTTAAGTGAGTAGTACATTGCAACAAAGAATGTCTCTAATTTCTAATTCAAGGGAGTAGTTGATCAATACGATGCCCCGTTCTATTATTGTTATCCAATACTAATACATTCTCTCCAAAAACTGCCTGATATACAACATAATTGTAGTTGTCTTTATTGTTCAATTGCGCACGGTTGAATTTATCTATAGAAATTACGAATTCGGGAATCTCAGATAACAGTCATGAAGGAGAGGACTTTTTATTAATTCACGTCTTGTAACAATCTGCCTTATTTAGCTTTCTCGTACGTCATTAGGTAGATGTTCTTAGCAGAAGGTTTGTGTAATATGTATATGCCTTATCTCATTTACGACAATATTTACAATCATTGTATTTACTAATCCAATATGTAGTATATGTTAAACAATAGTTAATAAACTTTATGATAGCAATCTAAGGGCGAATTATATTATTTTGTATAGTCAATACATTTTCCAGAAACAATAGAGTGTTTCTTTTACAGCCCGTAATTGTCTCAAGTCTAATTGTCATACAGTTGAACGGGAATTATTTTTAGAAAACGTTCTTTACAGAATTTCCCAGGTTCTTTTTTCTCGGCGGATATGTTGTTGCCGTTTAGTGATTTATTATCTCGTCATTAACAACAGTCTCAATACAACCAAATTAGCAAAGAGTGTGATTCCACCGACCCTCTTTCCCAAAAAATGCTCAAGTTGCATGTAGCAATGTCTTGGCAGGATTTCTGTAACATCACAGAGCGTGTTTCAAGGATTCAGATCAATCAAGTGAAAACGATAGAGCTGGACAAGAGTTTAAAAAAAATGCATGCAAAAGCGATTTCTTAGAGCGCGCGAAGTAAACAACGTAGGAGTTTGAGTAATAGATTTTACCCGGCTGATTTATTATAGCATTTATGCAGCGTACGTCTATATGTCGTGTATTGGTGAATTTTATAACCGACTCGTGCAGTAACCTGATCTCATTTTGAATAATTGAGGTTTTTGTTATCGTAAGACTGTTCGCGAATATGCAATTTTCTCGTTTGGCCCGAGTAATTAATACTTCATTCTTTCTCACATGCGTTTCCATGCTGCTTTAACCAGATCCGTCTTGTTAATGTCGAATAGCCTTGTTCTCAAGAAGAAGAAAAATATTGACTTTGGAGACAAACTTGGTATATTAATATGCTCACAAGTTGTACTGAAACTAATAACCGATGTGTCACTTGATCGACAAATTTGCTTCTTTTGGTAGAAGTCCATTATATCAGTGAGCCAATTGTGAATGCCCTTTAATCACGGACGTTGAGTTTGGGGTCATGGGAAGACAATGGGTGTCATAAGTAAGTTACGAATATAGATGAATTATGGAATTTAGACAATCTTTATCACCTTTTGAAGTGTTGTTTACGATTTGCTGGGTATTATACATTTCCCCCTTTGATAACAACAACATTATTATTATCAGTCTGATCTGATCTGTTTATGATAAAATGTTGCATAAGTCATTTGACCATCTGCTAGCAAGGTTTAGGTATTTCACTACGGGTGATAGTGATACATAATAAAATAAATATATTGTGGCGCATATAGACACAACTGCGCCAATTCACCTCTAATTCTGAAGAGTTTATTAGGATTGAAAGAATCCGACATGCAAGCATCCTTTTTGTCTGAAGCTTGGCAAAGTACAACCATTGCTAAAAGCATTAGGTAATCGCAGACGCTTATATTATCTCCATCGCATGACATGATGCACAAAACATTTACGACGATAGATCCAAAAATTTGTATTTTGATAAACAATTCCTTTAGAACCAACGCTATAAGGCTTCCCTATCAAGCATGCATCATGTGGAATTGTTTGTTTATTTCTTGGCGAAAGAAAGAGAGAAAACTAAAAGGAGAAAAAAATTAACCGATTCCGAGTCTAACCGGAAAAGCTACCACGCAAATGTTTTTGGAAACATTAATATTATATTCAGACATACAGATGAAGGGTCTTCTTTTCTACAATTTGAGCAAAAAACTAATAATACTTGCGATGATTTGTCCCGAATCCGATCTTGAAACCATTAAGGGAAGGAATTGATTCCTAATAATAATATGTAATATGACATTGATTATGCGATCAAATAAAGTACGTACCTGGTATCAATTAATTACAATGACACTGCATAGACGTTCAAATAATATCTTTAGCTGTACAATTTGTAATGGTTTGGCTTGGCAAAGTAGAAAACTATACGAGCGATCATTTCTCTTTTCGATTTAGATTTAGAATTGCGCTTCTGATTGCAAGCGATTGTGATCTAGCGCTTCTTCTTTTTTTTCTTTTTCTTTTTCTACCGATAATGTTACACAATCTGTTAAAATTGACTTATTATAAGGTTTGAATCTTCTGTTGATGCAACTCAATCAATGTTACTCTAAATGACTCATTTATTTTCTGGAATTGCACAAGTAATGGGCTCGGAATCCAACAACTCTGTATTCTCAAGCCGCATTATCAGACTCAAATCTCGTTGGAATTCTAGTAACAAAAAATTTTCTACCCATTCTTGGACATTCTAAAGTAACACCAACGAGTCGGTGCGATTGTACCGATTTCCGATGTGCCACAAAAAAAAGTGATTGTCCGGATTGCGAGGCACATATCCAATGATATTTCATTAGAACAATTGTTTATAACATAAAGTTTTAAGAATTGTTAAACAAACAAAAAAGGTGTGTTCGTTATCAGATTAGAAGATTACCAACCCATGACGCGAATATTACATCTCTATTTGATCTAGTGGTTATATCAGCACTTGTAGTGAAACTAACCAAACTAGACGAAATGTTATTTCCTATTTAGGTCTTCGATTTAGTCACGATGCTCATCCTAATCCCCACTTCGAGCGTGGTTTATCGTCAAATGAGCATCAATGCAGGACTACGTGTTACACGGCTTGTTATTGTTGATCAATGTTCTTTTTGTGTCAATAGGAAACGGTCGTTCTAGCATATAATAATACCATAAACGACCACTAAGGAATTACACAGAGGGGAGGCTGTCAATGCTATCCGATACACCATTGCCCGTCTTTGTTTCAGTTTGCACAAAGTGCGATTTGCTCAAGATTTACCTTCTTTATATTTGTTATTTTGCTTGGCAATTTTTCTTGGCATTCTGTCACTTTGTTTTTTAACTTTTGAGCAATGGATTTTTGGAATATCAGGCACACAATTAACAAATAACCTGCATAGAATGAGACATTGCGTAAATGAGTAGACACGATCGCATCCGGTGATGATGAGTATTCGTGAGAAACTCGCAACGAACAAGTAAACGTATTGTTGATTGGCTGAAAACAAAAGAGTTCACATACGATCGAGCCTTTCCTATATTCAATGTACGGTCACACAATATATAAAGTACTATAGTCGATGTCAGTGTCCTATCTTTGGCTTTGGGTGTTGCACTGCCCAAAATAAGTCACAAAGCATAATGAAAATCGTGAATATCAGTTCTCGTTCTCTTCACGTGTTCAAAATCTAATTTTAGTACAAATTATGTCAGAACAACACGATAAAGATTGTATGTGGGTTCAGTTATTAAATGAATTTTGATCACAATAATGAAAAATCGAGCGAACGGATTGATATTTGCCACAGCTTTGCTTGCAGGTTAGCATCACAGCAAATCATGTGACAAGCGTAAATCTAAGCAAGACTCTTTAGCGACCTCTACAATAACCTAATATAATTGATGAATAGTATTACTATTACTATTACTATTACTATTACTATTACTATTACTATTACTACTTCTAAATTACGATTATGTCAGACAACGCAAAATTCGAATAAACCAATTATAATTACATAAAAGAGATTTAGGCACTGATCCGTGCAACATGGATAATTAGCTTGTTTCAAGCGACTTTATACGTCAGACTTATATATATATATACCCAATGGTTTCATCATGTCTTGGTTTCGAGTCCTTCTCCGTCTCTGTGTGTGTCTCTCCCAAAGTGTGTTCCCCTTTAGGTACAACCATGATCTAGTACAACTAATAACAATATTATCACTAAATTCCAATTCCGAGGTTAAGAGCATTCTAATTCATAAAATCCAAACTACGTTAATTAGTGCAACTGTTACAAGCGGGATATTCTAACCACGCGGGCAAACTCCGTAAGCTTCAATGACTCAAATTTGAAATCACTTTCTAAATAAATTCTTCTTTCGACCATTCACAACACACGCCCTTAAATGATCACCAATAGAAAATATTATCACACAAATTTGCTTCCGCAATCCCGATTTGCAATTCGTCACACTCACGGCTGATGTTTGTGCGATTCTTTGCCCGGATCGGAACACTGCAAAACACCGCAGACTAAATAATTGTAAAACAAAGTAAAAAAGAAGACACCAAACTTCAACCCGGAAACAAACTCTGAAAAGCGCACCAACGCGTTTGTATATTTGTACAATTCACCACCAAAGAGAACATAACATTTAGACATGCCTGATGAATTAACCCCAAAACGCCAGCGTGTTTCAAAAGCTTGCGACACTTGTCGCCGCAAGAAAGTGAGGGTATGTCTATGCATCTTTCGACGATTTGTCTTTTCTTTTCTTGTCTTGTGCGAAACTCCTCTGAATTCTCACACAGTCCATACGCCCCCCGCTTTGACTATTCTCGTTATAGTGCGACGGTGTTCAACCTCCTTGCGGGAACTGTGCTACTTTTGGGTTCGAGTGCACTTATAACGATGCAACAAAGAAGAGGTAAACCTTTACGCATATTACCAGTTTTGTTTTGTTTATGCTAGCCGCAATGACTTTATTTTTCGCTAAACCGTTGATTTATCAGAGGTCCACCAAAAGGGTATATTGAAGCCATAGAAACGCGATTGCATAGAATGGAGTCTTTGCTGGGTGGATTAGTGCACAGTAACGATCCCCGTGCTGAAGCCGTGTTGAGTGAACTGATGCAAGACGACTTGCGACCGCTACGACATTCGGGATCAACTGACGCTTCTTTGTGGCGAAGTCTTCAATCCTCTGGTTCGGCCGATAATTTTGCCGGCATGGACGATTCGTACAGATCAGGGGAGAGTCCATTGATCGATGATTTGAACGATATCATGGGCATACTGAGCATCGATGAGAATAATCAAGTGCGGTATCACGGTAGAAGTAGTGGTTTCTATCTATTAAAGAAGAGTAAATGTTACAAAGACGGAGTACTCCAATATCCAAATCAACAATGGGCCAAGGGCGAACTCGTTGCATCGACCGTTGAATTTGAATTACTAAAACGTCCAGAGCTTATAGAATTACCGTCTGAAGAACTGTCAAATCATCTGTTGGAATGCTATTTCACTCAAATGCATCCGTATCTTCCATTAATTTACAAGCCCACGTTCTTCAAACAGCTGAAAGAGAAAAAGTATTTGCCCTTGCTGTTGCTTAATGCCATTTACTCGGCTGCTGCTAAATTCTCACCAAAGTTGGAAGTAAGAAAAGATCCCTCAAAACCAGAGACAGCCGGTGACGTGTATTTTGAACGAGCCAAAGCCTTGCTTGATAGCGATTATGGTGTTTCCAAAGTTACTACAGTGCAGGCCTTGTTGTTAATGGCTATACGAGAGTTTGGGTGTGGGAAAACGTCCCGTGGGTGGCTGTATATAGGAATGGGAATAAGAATGGCCCAAGATTTGGGAATACATCGCAATAACGAGAGATGGCATCCTCTGAGCCTGAGCCATGAAGAACGAGAGTCACAGAGACGGACATTTTGGACATGTTTTGTTCTAGACAGGTGAGCTATGATTCAAATAGCTCCGTTATTGATTCTTTATGTAACTGTAATGAAATGATTAACTGTTATTATTAGACTTGCGAGTGCTTACTTGGGTCGTCCTATGGGAATTGATGAGAAAGATGTCGACGCTGCACACCCAAGTGAAGCTGAATATGACGAGACTGAAATGTTGCCATTCAAAATGGATGGGCTGTTCTCTTCTTCTTCATCTCCCCTCTCATCCCAAAACAGCTTACAGGCGTCACCGGCAACGTCTTCAAAGTCGGCGTCGTCCGTTGGGTCTCAATCGAACGAGGTAACACACAGGTCGCATGCAGTATCTCGGTTCATTCATTTCATTAAACTGTGCGAGATAGTCGGTCGAATAGTACACAACATACATGCGATAAGGTGCAAACCAATCTCAAAGATTGATGACACTGTAAGATCTATTCTGGATTCTTCGCTTACTTCGTGGTTTGTCAGTCTACCTCCTCATCTGCAATATGATCCTAATAGCAATGATTGTACATCACCAGCGACATTAGCACTTCATATGCATTATTATACAGTATTAACGTTATTACATCGACCCTATGCACCTACTTTCCCACATTCTCACAATGTTTGTACAACAGCAGCAGAGGAGGTTGCTAAAATTGGAGAGACACTAATGAAAAAGGCTCCACAAACATATAGTTTAGCAATGTCTGTATATAGTATATTTACAGGAGGAGTTACTCATACTTATAATGCTGCTCAAGACGACCCGTCTTTGGCTTTATCATCAAAAGTGAATTTACTCAAGTGTCTAAGAGCACTAGAGGCAGCAAAGGACGTATGGCAACCAGCATCAAGATACTATAATTTACTGGTGGATCTTGTGGATTTGACAGACGCCAGATCCGGTAATGACAATCTTCGTAATACTCTTGGTGACAACGAGGACGATCATAGCCCGCAATCACGTAAGAGGACTAATGTATCCAATAACCAAAGTCAGGCTAGAAATTCCCAATTGACATTGGAAGATTACAATATCGTCTATCATCAACCTTTTATGACGACTGCTGATAATAGTAACAATAGCAATGTTCAAGTAAAGGATGAAAGATTCCAAATGTCTCATAATTCAATACGGTCATCACAATCGATACCGGAATTTGGATCGTTAACAATGACATCAGAAATTACGCCAACACTCGGCCCATCACAACAGCAACAACAACTACAACACCAACAACTACAACAGCAACAGCAACAGCAACTACAACAACAACAGCAACAGCAACGACGACAGCGACCAATGTTTCAACATCCACCTGCCATACAATTGAACCGTCACGGTACAGAAGAATCTCCTCAAATGTATCCCGTTAGACATCGATCCGTTGTCCCTAGCCAGCAACTATCTTCGTTATCAATCAACGATCCGTTTGCAGCGCCGGGTGCAGCTACAGCTGGTGCAAATAATAACGGAAATGGAGTATTTAATACTCCAATCACAGGGTACTGGGAGATACCACCATCGGCAGACTTGGATGAATGGACGGCATATGTGAATAATCAACATTTACGACAAAGTGGAATTACATATGCGTCGCAGGGACTGCAGTCGTCACGGATGCAAACAAATAATACTAATGGTATACTTGCCTCGCAACAACGGCTTATATCTAACGATGGTAATAATATCAACATGTATGCTAACGGTAATCAGCTGATGCCGAATATATTGACACTACAGAATGGAGAGGGGCGAAGCGCTGGCGGGTATGGTGGAAACGGGAGTGGTAATGGAGCAAATGATTCAACTGTACCACTGATATATTACTAGCACAAAAGAAGAAAAAACAACGACCACCAAACACAAGGTGGCATAAAGATGATTGTATTACACCCATTACACTCAGAATAAATCTATCGGGTGGCTTTTTAATATGTATTTATTTTTAGGCTATTTATTAATGTAGAATTAATTCGACATATCTGAAGCCAATGTAAAAGGAAAAGGAGGAAAAAGAAAAAGAAGACAAACTAAGCGAATTTATATATGCACCGAGGTCGAATTCTTTTATATGCCGTAAATGACTAGACGATCTCAAAATAAGTATTAGCTATTCTTAAGTCTTCTGTAACATCAATGACGTTATGCGGAACGTATACTGTACACAGCACATAATAAACAATAAAGCAACATGTATACAGTGTTATTTGCTTCTTTGTAACAACCCGATCAATAATGTTGGATTAATTCCGATTATAATGAAAACTTTTACATTTATCTGATTGGTCACTATATTAATTTCGCAGATATTAACTAACGTTATTAAAGTAAACATAATATCAAAGAAGATAATGAACCCTGCTAATTTTGATGATATAAGAGCTAGTTCGTCAAATGAACAATACAAAATGAGGGATGTAACACAATATTTGATTCTGAAATTGTTACGTTCAAATTATGTCGTTCGTTAAGAATACTGCAATTGACACCTTAATCGCAACTAGCGATAGTGATCTTGAATGGGTTCCTCACTCAGAAATTACCGAAATAAAGTCTAGTCAAATTGATACTGTTCACTACGCTATTCACAAACGTACACGAGATGGTGGCACAGTCGAGGAAACGATGATGATGCTTATACTACTTGGAAGTGATGAGATATGTACACCAACGTTTGTGAGCGAGTTTTCCAGAATATACTCGCTTCCGACAATCGTTTACAATGGTGATGTCAGTCGATTTAGACGATATTCCCGATGGCTTAATTGTCGCAACTACTTGATAAAAGGATTCACCAAGTACGATGACAAGTATTACATGGTTGCTCATAGACGTTTTTACGATTGTTACTCTCGATATGGATTCTGCTCTAAATGTCGAATACTCCGATGTAGTCCCGTGTGGTGCATTTGTGGACATAAACAATTATCCGATGGATGGACTAGCAACAATAAG